CAAAAGGTTTGTCAGATTTTCATTGTAAACAGTTTAGTGCCCACCGTGGGGCTATTTCGAGCTTCATCCAAGCTTCAAAATATGATTTTTATTCAATGTTTTTACTGTTTTTACTCACAAAAGGTCTTAAAAGTCGGCTGTGACTAGAATCTAGGGCTTTGATGCTCTGTAACCCTACTTTTTCTGGGCAACAGTCCCAATGTCGCCCAAATTCAAAGGTCTCAAAGACCTCTAAAACTTTGTGGATCTATTCTAGGGACGCTTTTGTGATTGCATAAAAAAATTCAGATCAAATGTTTTTTAAAAAATACAAAAATATATTTTTCAGTTCAATCTGGGCTTTTCTGTTTTACTTTATTTTAATTTATTTCATCGTAAATATGTTTAATTCCTGCTCCTTTCAAGTTTAAGGTAGTCTTATTTCATCAATATTAACAAGACAAATATATATATATATATATATATATATATATAAAATATATATTTTTTTTTGGGCGACACCAGCTGTGTCGTCCACCCTGCAAGGCGCCTGGGCGACACCACTAGTGCCGCCTGGGCGACACCACCCGTGTCACCCAACTGCAAGTGTTCCACAAAAATTATGGGACCCCACATGACCATTCCAGGGACTTTTGGCTCCATGTTGATCAATGTTTAAGCCTAACCTGCCCAAACCTAGGGATCAATATGCTGCAATCCCTTGGAGTTATCGACAGACCTCAGGACAATCCATTATCCAACGCAGTAGTCCTTAATTAGAGGTAGAGTCCCAAGCATCCACTCCTAATCTTGAGATCTGTGTGGTCTGAAAAAGCCGGCTCCACCAGAAAAACTTTGAATAGGCAAGGAGTCCGACCAGGCGTCATCCTCAAGGGATTTTAGGCAACCAAAGTAGAAGTCGAGTGAGGGAAGAAATTCATGCAATATCTAAAGCCAATTCCTGTAACTCGAACTAAGATAACTCTAAGGTGCAACGATCTCAAAACCAAGACCCACCTAGGTCTAGGGGATCTAACCCAACCTCGAGCCACCATAGTACAGCTCATGATGCCTTGAACATTGTACGAAGCAGAGGTGTCAGCTCAAACTGACTCTTAGGGGAGATAGGCATCCAAGCTGCCATCAAAAGTCTAGTTGACCTAGGTTACACTATTCATGCCCCAACTTACGGGTCGATCCCAATGAAGTTAGTGGTATAGGTCAACCCTTAGTACAACCGAGGCAGCCGATTTATCAATCGGTCCTTCTGATTCATCCGATCTAATAAACAGTGCAATTTTTGCAATCAGTAGCGACAGCTATGGGTCAGTACACCCCTCAAGCACCAATGTATCAAACTGCCCCGGTGACTGCAGCTCATCAATCTCAGGCCCATGCAGGCCAACATATACCCCAAGTTTCAACTTATCAGTCTACGCTTGGGAACCCACTAACCAGTGGGCCTACAGCCATGCCAAATACTCAACAGTAAGGCACCTTAATAGTAATGCAGGGTATGCTTGTAA